GTCCATTCCCCGGATGTTGGGGTGAACTGTGTGTTCCAGACAGGGTGCTCTTGCTGAGGGTTTTGGCGGGCAGCATCTGTCTAGTGGGGGTGGGGCAGGCAGTGTGCAGCCACCAGACCCAGGGGGACAGGTGAACTTGCTTTTCAAGTCACCCTGGGGTGCCCCTCCTGGCCTGAGGTTCGGAGGTATTTGCCCAGCAGCTCCTGAAGGTGCCTTGATGAGTCAGGTCTGGTGCCAGGCGTTTTCACATTTAATTTAATCTGCGCAACTACCCCACAAGGTTAGGATCCTTGTCTTTATTTTACAGAAGAGGAAACAGGCTCAGAAGTAATTTCTTCAGGGAACAGGGAAAATAATTTCTTCAAGGTCACTCAGTTGGAAAGGGTCAGGGCCAGGATTCGGACCCTGGTCTCTGCTGGCTTTGTTCCTGGCTTCTTCTCTGTGGGAGGGCACAAAGGAGGTGACATGTGGTGCATTTTATCCTGGGGTGCTCTCAACTGCGCTGGGAGGGAAGAAAGGCAAACACAGAACTGATTCCCCAGACGGCACTGGGGCTCCCAGAGGACTGGGAGCCTAGTCAGAGGTGTCGCCTCTGGTCTCTGGATCCGACTCCTCACCCCTCATGGATTCGTGATGGGGTTGGGCTGGGGCTGGGCTGCCCAAGGGGGCTGCATCAGGAACCTCCTATCCCTGGTCTGCCTTGGGCGGGGCCTGCCTTGCTCTGCCCCGAAGCTACCAGACAGTGAGAATAGAAAGTGCCAGAAGCCAGGCTCAGGTGTGTCTGGGACCCTTTGACGAGGGGGAACAAGAAGCCACAGTGTACCATTTAGGTCAAAGGCATGAGCGGAGGTCTGCAGGCCCCAGGAGAGCCCCCAGCCTTGATTTGAGGGGCTGTGGGAATATTATGGACGTCTGACATAGGGTCCGACCAGGGCACACTGAGGTGCCAGCTCTCCTGGCTTCTGGGAGTGGTGAGAGATTCACTTCCCAGGGGACTTGAGGTTTCCCAGGAGCTTGTTCTAGGCCCCTGGACCAGCCCTGGCCTCCTGGTTGGGAATGAAGTTCCCCGAGAGCCTGGGTGCAGATCTGGTTCCTGACCACAGGGCTGCCACTGGGCCCCGGAGGGAGTCCCTGGGAGCCACAGGGCCCTGCCTGCTTCTGAAGCCTGGGTTGCAGCCACGTCACCTTGTTTCCTGCCTCGGTTTCCCTGGCTGGTTGGTGGCAACCTATGCTTTCTCTCTGTCACTCATTTTCCTCTCCCCGTCCCCTCACCTCTGCTGGCCTTCATTGCCTTTTTCTGAGTGATTGGAAGAGCCCTCCTCATCCCCCGGCTCCTTACCCCCCATCACCCACTGCCTTTCTGTTTTGTTCCTCTTCTCTCCTCTCACACCTGCTTTCTCTTACTTCCCAGTCTCTGGAGGGTCCTGGGCTGAGTGGGGAGCAGGAGAGTGCCAGGTCCCATTTCTTGAACTTGCTCCCCTTTCCTAGGATGACTTGGCTGAAGAGGGGTGAGGGGTGCCAGTGAGTGTGATGGGGGAAGTTATCTGGCAGAGAATGGGGGTAGGGGCACATCTGCTTTTTTGTGTGTATCTGCCTCCTAATGTCTCTAGCTGTCTGCCAGTCCCTGTCACTATCTATGCCTTTCTGTGCCTTAGTTCCTAGGACTTGGGGGGGGGGGCGTTAATACAGCTCTCCTTCTGAGCTGCCCACACCCAGCTGCCCTCCCTATCCAGTTCAGGGGAAGACCAGTCAGTGGGCTGGTTTCCCAGGGAGGGGAGGGGCTGTGTGGAAATGGGTAGGGGCAGGGGATTGTGATTGCATTAGCTAGTTATGATGCAATTGGGCTTCCCAGACTTGGCCCTCCTCTGTCCCTGGTCCCCTGCCCTGCCCCCTCCTTTCTCCCTCTCCTCCCGCACTCTCCATTCATCTCACTCCCTCTCCCAGCTCCATCAGAATCAATTAGACAGTCCCTGCTTTAATCTCATTGCAGGAGCCTGGGCTCAGACCCAGCGGCCCAGCTCCTGGGTCTGCAGTCTCCGTGCTGGGCCCTGCAATGAACACCCCAGAGGCAGGGGATGACCAGGATGACATCAGGAACCTTGTTCTTATTTCTCCACCCCCAGATGCTCTGCCTGCCCTGGGAGGGAGTCCAGGCTAGGGCTCTCCAATGGATCAATAACCACCATCATTCCAGGTCTTTCCCCACCCCTCCCCCACCCACCGCTCATCTGCCAGCTGCTGGGTGGTGATGGAAGTCCTTTGGAAAGGGGCCCAGAGGACCCAGGATTTTCAGCTTGCAGATTAGAGAGGGGTGGGGGTGGGGATGGGATGAGGGTTTGGATAATGAGCTGCCAGTGTCTGAAGGCATTCATTGTACAGAAGAGAGTGGCCAAGGTCTCCTTCCCAGGAAAGGCAGGCTAAGAAGAAATGGTCTGGAATTTGAGAGGGGGGCTAGAGGTTCCGTGTCAGGAGGATCTTCCTGCCTGTCAGGGGCCAGAGACCTGGGTTAGTGGTGGTGAAGGAGAACTTACGGAATCACCTCCTTGGGAGAAACATTTCTTGTCCTTCCTCTCCCCTCCTCTTCTTCTCTTCCTCCTCTGCTTCTCCCTCTATAAGGTTGTGGGGTGGGAAAGCAATGAACCAGGAATGGGGGCTTTGATCCAGTTCCGGCACTGCTACTTTCTAGCTATGTGACCCCTTTCTAGCCAGTCACTTTGCCTCAGCATCCTCATGTGTCAATCATGTGTGTGTTGTGGTGGGGAGCAGGGGAAGGTCCTGGGTCTTTTTCAAGTTTAACTGAGATCAGTACTGGATATCGAGGAGCTATTGCAGAACATGGAGATGGGGTCCCTCATCAGGGGTGGGTCGAGTAGGGATGTATAAAAGCTTCAAGGACCTTGAAAATGATTCCCTACTGTCCCCTAATACAGGGCTGTAGAGAGATCCAATGGATTTGGAAGCAGGATTGGCCTTCCTTCCTTCATTCATTCATTCATTCATTCACGCACTCAACCAGCCAGTCTACCAAGTAACTCATGCAACTGTGAACAACTGACAAGGTCCTCTGGGAACTGGCATTCTGGTAGGGAAGGAGGTGAGCGAATCTATCAAGAAGAGATAGTGAAGTGCTATGAAGAAATGCACCTGCTGTTGTTACACAGAGTCTGGGGACCGGAAGACAAGGAAGGACTTCAGTGGGGTGGTCAGAGGATGTGGGAACTAGGAGGACATTGGCACTTATCTGAGATGGGAGCCCAGCTCTGCAGGAACCCTATTCTGTTGCAAGGAGAGAAAACTTGGGGGCAGTATGACATGTGAGTTCTGGACTTTGTATATGGTTGGGCAGTTTAACCCTGAGTGAACTGATGAATTTCATCCCTCATGGATGTGCTGGGGTCCTGGGGAACCCAGCCTGGGAGGTGAGACCCAAGTGAGAGCCCCCTGGGGGCCACAGGTGGAATTGCTGTGGCTGGAGGTGGTGAAACTCTTAACTCCGGTTGTGAGAAAGTGCCTGGAGAGCAGGCAGGCCTCCTAGCCGGCCCCATCTGATGGGGGAGAAAGGCTTGGAGTCCCCGGGGAGCGGCCTCTGTGCATCTCTCTTTGGGTGTGAAAACGAGACCGGAGCCTCCAGCCTCCGATCAGATGCCCAAGCCATTCTCCCCTAACAGGAGCCTCCTTTGTCCCCCCTCAGACAAAACCAGCCGGGGGCACAGTGGCCCTGGGGGCCCAGGACAGAGGAAGCTCTGTGCCTACCCTGAGCCAGGTGGGCCCTCCTCCAGGGGCCTGTCCCCAGGGGGCTTGCGGCTCTGACCTGCTCTCTGTTTTCCCTGACACCTTCGCTGACTGCCTCTGGGAAGTTTCCTCTTCTTCTCCAGTTTCTCCAGGGAAAAGAGTGCCCTCCGGTCCTGACCCAGGGAAATCTTGGGGGGAAAGGCCCAGAGCAGCCCCCTCTCTGCCAGCATGGCCTCCATCCTACCTGGCTCTAGACCAGTGATGGCGAACCTTTTGAGCTCGGCGTGTCAGCATTTTGAAAAACCCTAACTTAACTCTGGTGCTGTGTCACATATAGAAATTTTTTGATATTTGCAACCATAGTAAAACAAAGACTTATATTTTTGATATTTATTTTATATATTTAAATGCCATTTAACAAAGAAAAATCAACCAAAAAAATGAGTTCGCGTGTCACCTCTGACATGCGTGTCATAGGTTTGCCATCACTGCTCTAGACTCTGGTATCTCCTCCCTGGCCTGCACTCAGCATCTGGGTCCCCAGGCTACGTGAACAAGAGTGGGTGTGGAAAAGAAATTCTTCTTCCTTCAAGCCCTGGCCAGGCCCACAGCACAGCCTGCCTCCAGCCTGGACTCTAGCCAAGGAGAAGAGGCAAAGGAAGAAAGAGCTGGGCCCTAGGGGGCGGAGCAGAGCTGGGATACAGTCCTGGGGTCTGAGGGAGCCTGGGCAGGGCAGGGAGTTCCCAGAGAATCCTTTAACCCTCTAAAGTTGGTGGCCACCTTTGTAAAAGCTCCACTGGGAGGGAGAGGTGAGGAGCTGGGGGCTATTATCAGGCACCCACATGGGGGCTGAAGAGCAGTTTGCGTCTGACATGAGGCCCATTTGATGGAGCAGGCCCTGCCCAGGTTCATCCTGATCCCTCACTTACTCCATGTTTTGACGTCTAATACATGGTCCCCTGTGTCTGAGCATCCGAATCTGGTCCGTTCCATGGAGCCTTGTATCTCTGTCCCTGGTGCTCAGGGGGCCTAGAAGGAGAGACGGGAGGGAGGGGAGAGTTCTTGAGCATCCTATCGGGTGCCAGATGCAGTTTCTGGTGCCTTGAGTCCTCTGAGGGAAAAAGGGATTGAGAGGCAACCTTTTGGGATTGGACTCCTCCCCACCCCTACAAAACATACAAGTTTAGGTAAAAGAGAAAGCAAAGGGGGTCCTTGCTGAAACCTTCCAGGAGGTTCTGGGAATCCTCTAGTGATAAAAAAAGAATAGAGGACTTACTTGTGATTTTTCCATGAGGCACCAAACTCCCAAAGAAGTACTTCTGTGTCCTGTTAAGGTTGTGCACATGGAGGACAGGATTACATTGACCTTTAGGAGTTGAGCCACCTGGCATGAAGCTATGTGGGGTGTGGAGGGCCGGAGGCTGGGAGGGGAACCTGGGGAGAAGATCCAGGCAGTGACAGGCCTGACTTCATGTCCCCATCAGCTGCTGACTCTTTGCTTCCTCTCTGGAGTCACTGGTTAAGGACACCTCCTGCTGGGCATTGGATGGAAATGAAGGACTCTCTGCCCTTCTGAGCCCTTTTGACAGGATCTGCTTGTTGGAAGGGCTGGATTTAGCCATCTTTTCCTTCTCTTTCTTCCCACCCCTCTCTTTTCCTTCCTTCTATGTTTGATGAGGTCTTTATGCCCTAAGTCAGCGGTTCTCAACCTGTGGGTCGCAACCCCTTTGGGGGTCGAACGACCCTTTCACAGGGGTTGCCTAAGACCATTGGAAAACACATATATAACTACATATTGTTTTTGTGATTAATCACTATGCTTTAATTATGTTCAATTTGTAACAATGAAAATACATCCTGCATATCAGATATTTACATTACGGTTCATAACAGTAGCAAAATTACAGTTATGAAGTAGCAACGAAAATAATTTTATGCTCACCACAACATGAGGAACTGTATTAAAGGGTCGCGGCATTAGGAAGGTTGAGAACCACTGCTCTAAGTGCTGAGAAGACTTTAATAATTCTCTTAAGAACGTCATCTTGTCCTGCTCTCTAGTCTAGGCAGGGCCACACTTCCACTGATCTATCTGAAGAACTTCTTCTATTTAAAAAAGTCAACAAGTGATTCCTTTCCATTAAACTTCATTCCATTTGCTATGGATTAAAACCCATTTTCTCAGTCTCACATCATAATCCATTTCCTCTCATGCCTGGGTGGGGAGACTGTAGAGATGGTAGCCCCCCTTCAAAAACAACAAAAACCGGAAGAAGGCCACCTCTTCAGGCCTGGAACTGACTTCAGCAGCGCCAGGCACTTTGCTGGAGATCATGGGCCTGAACAAGGCAGGGCCTGCTAGGGATGGGCTCGCTTTAGTGATCCACAAACCACAATTTAAGTAATAAGGGTCTCTAGATTCTAGACTCTACTCCACTTACCTGATGCATCCTCCCTCCCCTCACCAGTTTTCATACAGAGCCTTCGTGTGTGTGTGTGTGTGTGTGTGTGTGTGTGTGTGTAAGAGAGAGAGAGAGAGAGAAAGAGAGAGGGGTCCCCCTTATTGAGGGACTGTTAGGGACTGAGGAACCTGTCTGTCTTTCTCCTCTCTCTAGCTATACACTAGCAGGGTCCTCTTCCTTTTCCCTCTCTGTGTTTCTGCCCAATATCTCCCAAAGCGCTGTGCCTACTGCCCTGTCTCAGGTGGGGGGCTGAGAGGGCTAGGGTAAAGCGGGCTTGGGTCAGGGTCAGCTGGCTGAGAAACCTCAGCTCCTCAGGAAGGAGCCCCTGGTTACAGCCCCAGGAAGCTGTCTTTGTGTCTCCATCCTCCCTGAGGAAGGGGTCAGGGAGACAGCATTTCAGGAAAAATGGCCCTGAGATGGTGCCCAGGGAGGCTCAGGCCCAGGAGTGCAGACCATAGGGGGTGGGAGTGTGGGGGAGGGGACCCGGCTGGTGCTCCAGTGGCCTGTTGCTGCAGAAGAGGCCCTGGCAGCTCCCCCACCCCTCCTTTCCTCTCTGGGCTTGGCTGGCTGGCTGCCCTCCCAGTTTCTCTGCAGCAACAGAACCAGGGACAAAGCTCATGGCTGCCTCTCCACCTCTCCATGGTATGTCTGTGGGTCTCCTGCCTGTCTCTCTCTGTCTTTGTCTCTCTCTGTGTCTATTTCTTTCTCCCTCCAGTCAGAGCCCAGCACCTCTTTCCCACCTCTGTCTTCTTCCCTCCCCTTAGTTCCAGGGTGACAAAACTGTCACCCCAAACAATATTCCCGAGAGGCCTCTGTTCACATCATCTGAGCACAGCAGAGGCGGAGAAGGATGGTGGACACGGCAGCACAGAAAGTGAACAGGGCAGTGAAGCCCATGCCCCTGAGCAGGAGACTGTCCAGCTGGAGGTGACCTGTCCAGCTCTCATTCATCTGAGCTGGTCCAGCCTCTGAGGCAGGGTCCCTTCCAACCTGTGGGGTGTTTGGGATCTCAGAGCTCCCTCTCTCCTGGAGTCGGCTGGAGAGAGATCCAGGCAGAGGAGTGGGGTGTGGGCAGGGTCAGAGGTTGGCAGCGAGTTGGGACAGCTGGCCCAGTGGTGTTCAGCGTCCCCATGTGCACCCCTGGGTCCATGGATATTTTGGCTTCGGTCGTGGAAGCCAGTGGCTTCCATTTCACTTAATCACATTATGCTCTGGGGAGCAATATGGGAATTGGACGGAGGTCTGGAGGGAATCCACTCACGCACACACGCACGCTCACTGCAGCGGGAGCACAATGCTGCCGCCGCTGCCCCGGCTTGCGCCGCCGCTGCGCCTTCCCCGCAGGTGGACGCCTGGCGCCGCCCCCGCCCCGTCCCGACCAGCTTCTGCGCCGCTCCCTGCGCCTCCGAAGTTCCAGGGGTGCCTGTGCCCGCCCCCCAGCCCGCCCGGGAAGCAGGCAGGCCGGAGGCCATCACGCTCACGCGGAGGGGAGGAGAGAGGGAGCAGCGGAGGAAGTCCCGGAGGGTGGAAGCGCCTCCCGCAGGGGTTTCCGGGGAGATGGAGGCGCGTCGGGGTCGCACCGCCGGGCCCCCACCACGCTCCTCCTCCTCCGGGTAGAGGGGTCCAGACACTGGGGCTGCTCCTGCCGGGCCGAGGATCCGGGACGCCCCGGGGCAGGGCTCTTGTCTACCTCCTCGCCCACCCGCCTCGCACCCCCAAATCCGCTCCGGCAGCAGCCAGTCCTCTTCCCCTGACCCTCGCGCCCCAGGCACCCACCCTCGTCAACATGACTCGACTGAGCTGGTGCTTCTCCTGCGTGATCGGATGGGGCAAGTATTTCTTCTCCTGCCTCCTGCCCCTGCGCTTCTGCTTCTGCCTCCGCAGCCAGGTAAGCTGTACCGCCTCACCTAGCACCTGCCCCACCCACCTCAACGGGCATTCTCCTCCCTCCGCCTCCTGGGCTTCCATTGACCATCCTCCCACCTCCCTCGGAGAGCCCGTCTTGACCGTTGTTAGCCGGCCTGTCAACAGAGTTTGGGGACTCCGGAGAGCTCCCACCGCCGCACGGATCCACAAGGGGGAGTGGCCGCCTTTCCCCAGCGCACAGCCCTCCCTCTCCCGGGTTTGAAGTCTGAAGGATGGCACAGGGTCTGTGGGAGGATGGTGGAGATGTGGGGACAGGGGACCTGGGGGCCTTGAGCATCCTTCCCATTTCTATGAAAGGGAGGGTGAGTTCCTGGGTCCCCACTGAGGACCCAGCATGAAAGCTGGGCACCAACAGAGTGAGATGGAAACGGGGCTGAAGGGCTGTGGGTGTCAGGAGGGATTCCCATCTATTCAGGAGCATAGAGGGACCCGGGAACTGGATGGGAAGAAGATGGGGGCTGGGGCACCAGGGTGGGGCAGTAGCTGGGGTAGTAGGTGAGGAGGGGTCTGGTGGGACCTGCAGTGCCGGGGTGGGGTGTCCTGGATGACCACCTTTCTCCCTGGGATCCTCGCAGTGGAGATCATAGACAGTGC